AATCAAAACGCGGAGCAGATCATTGCTGGGTAATTACAAGATTTTCATTGATAATATTTTACTTTTTGTAATCAATAATAATAATATTAATATTACTATATAATTACAAGATGTCAAGGCAGCACACCGTTTAAAAAGAAACATTTCAATATGCAACGTTTGATTATCGAAAATTTATAAGTGTTGAAGCACGCATGCTACCTTGAACACACTACAGTCATTCTCACACGTTCCTCGTGTTCAAAAGGCTAATCTGACCAAGATTTCCCCGATGATACAATGATGCTACTGAATTCCAGGGGGGGACCACATGGTCCTGAAGTTTATCATGATTGCATCAATCGTCAAAGACACTTTCACTAATCTTCCCTCACAGCATCCAGACCAGAGAAGGCCGCTGGCACGCTAGCCGAAAAGTCACCTGCAACGATCCCACCTCTAGGGTAAGGGTGGCACTGTGATCAAGTCACAACTCTGGAGGAATATTAAGAAAATCTGCAACTCACTCAAGCACAGGAGGTCGCAATTCAGAGCAGGGTTGGTGGCCCTGAAATTGCATCTGGACTCTGATGTTAAGAGGAAAGTTGTAAAATAGTGTCTGTTTTGTATAATCACTTTCATAAATTCTCTCTTTCTCTGATACTAACCAATTTAATAATTTTGGATAGGGGACTGGATTGGGTTTTTGCCCAATCAGTCTTCTGTCCTATTGGTTAAAATTATCACATGATTATATACATCTTTGTCAGCAATGTGGCTGACAAGGAAAAAGTCATAAAATGGTTCAGATTTTGTTTGGTATGTTATAAATTAATCATTCCCATAAATTTTCTGCTTCTCTTTAATTTTTATCTGACAACTGAACTTGTTATTTTAGTAAATGAGGGTAGGGTTGTTGGTGAGTAGGCACGCCACTGACAAGACAGGAGACACCTTTGGGATATACCAGTTAAACTTGTAGAAAGGGATTCTTTGTCCAGGCTTAGGGTCACATGGATGTTAAGCACAGAAAATATACACTATCAATGTATGTTTTTTTCAACAAAATAAACATTTAAATAATTAATTGTTAAATATTAGTACTTTTCTTTTCATAAAAATTACAGCAACCCAGGACTCAAAACTCTGAATTCAGGGAAAATCCAAAACAGCAACCTCCTGAGTTGCTGAATTTTCAAGCCAGTCTTAACACCAACTTTATGCTAGTGTGGCAATAACACAAAGCAATCATTACACAAGCACCAGCTATCAGCAATCAATGCTCCATATGGTAACAGCCAAGTCTGGTCTGAGGGGAAGATAAGGGAATGTTTTGTCCAAAGCCTTCCAGCATGTTCAATCGGTTCACCTGTGGAAAAAATTTCCACAGTGGAACGTGCTTAATTGCACAGCACTTGCTTGTTTGTGACAGGAAAATTTCAATTAAATCTGACACCTGTGATCAACATCAGATTTATTATTCACAAGGAACTATAATTGATAATCATGAAGAATAATTTATTATTGTGAATCCCAGAGATCTGGGTAGGCACACATTATTAAAAGTTTCATTTATGCATGGCCTTGATGTTATTTATTACCTGGGTGATGCAATTGTTTGTTATGT